GTAAAGTGCATCCATCGCATAGTCCAAATCACTGAAATCAAAGTTCAGTATTATAGTGTAAGAATGGCAACATATTAAATAATGTTATAATGTTAAATAATAATTATAGGCAATAATAATTCAAATAAAGTATCAAAAGCAAGAAATCATACGGTTTTATTGAACAAAACTGTTAAAATGCATAATGTATTATAAACAATAGAGCTAATGTACATAACGCATTACAACAAAGGCCTACAGAGGGCGCCAACGGCCTGATGATTATTTTTACACATTGCTGCTGGATCTAATACTTGTTTAATATTGACCAAGCACCATTTAATTCAAATGTCCACTTAATCTTTAATATTTGGCCATTTCTTTAGGACAGAAATGCTATAGCCACTGTAATTAAAAGAATATGTGGACATCAAAACGTGTAAACTCAGAGTGAGGGTTTGAGCTTTTATTTTGAAACCGCGATGTATTCTCCTGAGTTTGCGTAGATTTATAAATGATTTACCTTACAAATCTGATGAAATGGCGCACGTTACGTTCCCAGATGAACGTTATAATAAACCCAAACTCACAACAACATGCAGAGATGGAGTTTGAGCCGCTCCACACACATGTAAATGATAACGGTTCCTGTGGAACTACTGTGAACGGAGCCGCTGTGTGACGCACGTACTTAACCTACACGCATGTAAATAATTAAAGCGCATATACTGTATTAGAACGGCATTGCATATAATTAATTAAATCGTAGCGTTTGTGATAAACAATTATGCTTAATTATGATTATTAAATGGGTTTAATGTATCATGCAGCCTTGGGAAACCGTCTAATAATGTGTTTTATGGAATCGAATAGTCAAATAAAATCGACGAATCGCGACAGCCCTAGTAATAATATAGAATACAGGGAAATTTATAAGCATTTTTTTTAGTATTATGGTAGTTTTTGACCAGAAACACCACAGGTGTAACAAGGTGGGGAAAAATACCAAAAAGTAAAAAAATGATGATTCTTTTGGGGAATTGTTATATCTTGTGTGAGCAAAGTCAGTAAGTTTTAGTGCAATGTGATAACTAGCATTTAAAGAAAAATTCTCTGTGGGTCAAAATGAGAGAACACAACACGAGGGGAATCCTGTTGTTTTGCCCTACTTAAAGGGTTAGTTCACCCAAACATTTAAATTAGCCCATAAATTACTCACCCTCAAGTCATCCTAGGTG